TAGTTTCTGATTTTTTACTGTTACAAATAAGGCTGACTATCTTTACCTTATACCCATACCTTTGTGTTCATAATTATTTTATTAGGATATAAATATAGTCCTCAAAGTAAAATTGCTGAATCAAAGGATGAACCAAATTTGGTGAGTTTTACCCAGCTGCCTTTGGAAAGTTTTCACTCAAAATATAATAACTTTTTTAAGGCTATTCGGGCAATTTTACATATAAAGGATACAGAATAGGAGCATGATTTCTAAGATTTTATAAAGGTTTGAGCCTACAACAGTGGGGAAAATTGTGAAAGGTATAAATCTTCAAAAGCAAGCAGATGAAAAGCCTAAAAAACCTGGAAAGACATTGGGTTGAAATGTCCATTCCCCTTTATACTTTTGTTACTTTACTACTTTTCAGGTTGAAGATTAACAGAAAGAGCTTTCATATTCAAGTAATTGGAGAACTGTAAAAAGTGAATGGGCAGATCAATTGGATTGGGTGAGAAAACTTTGAAAACTTCGCAAAAGCATTAGAGCTTTTTGGCTTTTCACTTCATTGTATCACCATTCTTTATAATAACCTACATAATTTCCAAAATTTACTAATCAGTAATTGTATCAAATTTTTTTTTCTTTAAATATATGCTTTAAATAAAGTTAAATACATTTTCATGTATTGTTTTAAGACCAAGATGTAGGTCAACATTCTTTTGAGGCATACATATCTTATTTAACGGTGGCCAACACGTCAACATGAAATCGAATTAATTATATATAATTTATCTAATAGACAATCTGATAAGAATCTTTTTCATACATTGATGAGTATTGGATTTAATGCTACATAAATCAAACCTGAAAAGCAATGTAAATTTCATGTTTCTTTTAAGAACCTAAATTTTAGAGGTCAAGTCAACATTGCACAGTTTCATGTCATGAGTTTATATACATTGAGCTTCTACAGATAATTCTAAAGTAACATTACAAATAATACTGATTTTATTTCTAAAAATTAGAGATATATTATACAATAACTATATTAATATGAGTATAACACTTGAAGTTAAAAAAAAATAAATGTTAAGTTCTTTAGGATTTTTAAAGAATTGTAGTTAAAAAAAAAAAAAGAATTGTAGTTAAGAATCAACTGACCTGGGGGAATAAAAGAGATGCAGTTTTTTTCTTTATTATTCTATACTATATCTTCATTTTTAGGCCAAATCTAATTCTTTCTCAACTTTAAGGACCAAGCAGTCTTACGAGGCAATTAATAACAGTGCTTAAAACCTCACTAAAAAAACCATTAAAGGCTGGGCAAGGTGGATCACACCTGTAATCCTAGCACTTTGGGAGGCCGAGGCAGGAGGATCCCTTGAGGCCTCAGGAGTTTGAGACCAGCCTGAGCAACATAACAAGGCCTCATCTCTACAAAAATTAGAAAAATTAGCTGGGAGTGGTGGTGTGCGCCTGTAGTCCCAGCTACGTGAGAGGCTCAGGCAGGAGGATTGCTTGAGCCCAGGAGTTTGAGGTTGCAGGGAGCTATGCCACCACTGGTGTCATAACTCTAGCTTGGGCAACAGAGTGAGACCCTGTTTCAAAAACAAAAAAAGTAAAAATATTTCCATTTTGTTTATTTCGAATATCTCTTTTTTTAAATAGGAAAATTAAGAAAGCACTGATGCAAACAGAAATTAACCTCAAAATATATATTTACTAACTTTCATGCCTCCACAATCAAATAAAGTATTTGTGGAAAGGATTAAAAAAAAAAGAAAATAGATAAATTCCAAGCCCGCTCATGTCAGAGTCAAGTATGTTACGTGTAGACCAGAAGTTTATTTAAACGTGTAGACCAGAAGTAAGGCGTGTGATAAATATGTGGACTTGAGTGTGATATTATTTGAGAGTTTGACCATGTTCTTCAGTCATGCTTTGCCAAGTCAGTGGACAATATTTTGGCCAGGGATGGCAGCCAGAATTGTCACCAGGGAAACTCTCCCTCAGCATCAGCAGGAGTTCCTGTTGGAGGGCCTGTTCTAGGGAAAGATTTTTACAACTTAACATTTCCTTGATTGGTGTGACTTTCTGAGCACCCACTCAAAGAACCTTCTTCAAAATGGAACGGTCCCATCGGAGCCCCACTCCAGTGAAAGGAAATCTGGAACCATTTTTCCCAGAGATAGGCAACCCACTGCTAGAAGAGCTATGTTGTGATTTCACAGCAACAGACTTACAAGGAGTAGCTTCTATTAACTTCCAGAAGTCCAAGGGAATTCCTAAAACTTATTTTTCCACCTAAGGGCTCTGGAACATGGGTCTCCATAGTTTCCTGTCTCTTTAATTCCAGGAAAGAAGGAAGTTAGGTGAATAATGGAATCAGATGACAGTAATCTCCTTATCATCTACTCTAGATTCTTTTCCAGGACCCAATTTTAGCTAAAAACAGAATAAAAACCATCTGGCACCACTTCAGAGAGTTAAGGGGAGAAAGCCTGAGGAAGATTTTTAAAAGAATAAGCCAGCAAGATGTAGTCATGATAAAGCTGACCAAAATTACAGTTGCAATCTAAGTTTACTTAGAAAATATTTGCTGCCCAGTATGAAGAAGTCTTTCAATTTTTAAAAAAAGGATTTTAAAAGAAATGTTATTCATCAAAATGTGGCTTCTATAACATCATATTGAACTATTCAATGTATGGTACCATTACATGTCTTCTCACTAGCTTAAAACTTATCTAGCATGACTTTGAAAGTACAAAAATGGTAAAACAAACAAACAAACCAACCAACACACAAGGGCAAACACTCAGCTGTCTTTTCCTTGAGAGAAAGTCTGAGGCATGAAAGAACCCTCAGGTACCAAGTTTGTTTCCTGATCTGTAAATTCTCTGATGAGACCAATGAACCTGTCTCTTCTCTCCAGTAGGTTCTGCTGATTCGACAAGGTCCCTCCCGCCTCAGCCACTGCCCTTGGCTCAGCCTGACCCAATCCTCCCTCTCTGTGGCCACAGCCAGTGCCACGGGGTGCCTGGCCCACCAAGGAGAGTGTGGTGGGAAGCTGGCCAGGGCCCTGGTCACCTTTAAGGGCCTGTGCACATCCCACAGGCCTCTCCAACGGGAAGGCTTTGGCAGGTTTTCTTTTTTCTTTTCTGAATTCTTTCTCTTCTAGTCACCAGAGAGGGCCAGTTTCCCTGGTGACAAAAATCCATAGGCAGTGGTGTTGTATTCCCAGTTCCCTATCTCTGGGCACACTGCCTTCAAGCCAAAGTCCTTGCACAGAAGATTTCTATTTTCCACTTCCTATTAAAACAGCAGGGAGGGAGTCAAATGCAATTCAAATTGCATAATTGTTTACCACTTTGTTCGAAAGATGTGGTAACATTTATTTTTCTAGTAAGTTTGTCAGTTCCAGAAAAACTGGGACTGCTCACATCTTTTAACTGTTGTATCACCTGGATAGGTGCTCATAAATAAGTGCTTCATGAATGAATTCGTTTTCTACTCTGTGACAAACTACAAATTCTAACATATTGATTCTAATAATGAACAGGATACAAGTCATTTCTAGAAACTTAGGTTGGCATACCTTACTAGCCAGGTATAATGCTTGCAAGAAATGGGGACATTTCATTATAAATACAGAGAAATAAGTGATGAACGCTGAGACTGTGGGAAGAACAGGCATTAATATGTCCAGTGAATATAATTTTCACAGTATCTCCAGATGTAGGTATCAGTATCAGAACTAATTGTCACTTTTGCTGGGTGTGATGATGCATATCTGTGGTCCCAGCTATTGGGGAGGCTGAAACAGGAGGATCACTTGAGCCCAGGAGTTCAAAGCTATAGTGCACCATGATCATGTCTGTGAATAGGCACTGCACTCCAGCCTGGGCAATATAGTGAGACCCCACCACTAAAAAAAAAAAAAAAAAGAATCAATTATCGCTTTTGACAAGCTTTTTGTTTTCAGCTAATTTTCTTCTTAAATATAAAATATTTAGGTTTAGAGAACATTTGCTTTCAGAGTGAAGGCCTTCAGTTCCATTAACACACAAAAGTAATTTCATTAATGTCATGAAATCTTCCTTTATAAAGGTCTAAATTCTTACTAAATATAGCAGACTACACTCGATCTGTCAGTAAGTCAAATTTGTTGAACTGAACTGAACTGAGTCTTAAATTTATTTTAACTAAGTTTTAGATGAAAATCTTCTAAATTATTACGGTTAAGGTTATATACTACTATAACTAACTTTCTATTTACCCTATAATTTTACATTCCTTAAGTGACTTGAGATGTATTAAATAGTGACAAGTGACATGCGTCATCAAAAGAAACCATAAAGACCACGAATATTTTCAGATCCTACACTATGGGTTGGAAAATACGTAAACCCTGGGAGGATGAATTTCCTTACCCTCAAATAAATTCGTAGGTGGATGACCTCATCTCCAAAGGTGAAGTTGTGAAATCCAACTACTTGATTGATGAGTAGGCAGCCTGCTCGCACTGGACTCATTCATTCATTTACAAATGAGCCAGGCGGGGTGCTGAGCGCTGGAGACCTGGAGTTAAACAAAACAGACCGATCGCCTCCCTACCAAAGTTTCTATGAGCTTGCATTTTGATGGAGAAGACAAACAATGAAGAGTAAACAAATACCTAAGAAAGATAATTCCAGATGCTGCTGAGGGCCTGAAGATAGAGGGTAATGGGTAGGGGTGGGTTTCTGAGGAGATGACGGGAGGAAGTTAGTTCATTTCCAAACTTTATGAGTAGTTCTGCCTGCTTCCTCGCTTTTGGTTGGCTTGGACGAGGAATGGTGGCTGGCATGTTCCATGATCCACTGAGGCAGCCTCAGCCAACCGTTCGCTGCTCAAGACCCTGTAGGCCAGTATTTCACAACTTCCCCAGGCGTCTCCCTGGTCCAGGAAAAGCCTGACTGTTGCCGCAGTTTTCCCAGCGATCTCCCTCTCGCCGCCCTGCGTCTGTGTTTTACTCACAGCCTCCGAGGAGCGGCCCCGCGGCCAGCTCTCAGGATGTGGAGAGCTGCAAATAGCACCGACAGCTGCAGCTGGAGGTGGTGGCCGCCCGGGAAGCGAGCCAGCTGCTGCCACCGCAGGAGCCGAGGCCAGCGGCGGACCTCCTCGCGCCCTGCGAGCAGCCGGCGGAGCCCTCGACGGGTCAGGCCGACTGGCTAGTGCCAATGACGGCGCTTGTTTGCTCATCTGCGCGCACGCGGTGACGGAGGGCGGCGGGACTACCTCGGAGGTAGGTCGGCGCCAATCATGTCCTTTTGTATAAACGGGGTCACTGAGGTGAAGGGGGACAGTCTGGCGCCCTGTGTTCTTGGTGCCTGGGCCTTTTCCTCACGGCGTGCCCAGTCCTTTCACATTATCTCCTTAACATTTTTATTCGCTTGTGTTTTCCGCCACTCACTTTCTCCTCTGGCCACACTCCTAAATGTGACAACGTAAGCATTACTCATAAAGCATCACTGCAAATGTCTTTAAAGAAGGAAGCCTAGAAAAATAATTAAAACGCATCCTTCGGTCGGCCACACACAGTGGTAGCAGGGATGGGACCCAGGCCCCAGCACAGCCCTCACACGCTTTCCTCACAGGAACGTGGAGGAGGCGACACGCGGGAGGCCGAGCAGAGGGGGCGCCGCTTCTCGAAGGGGACCACGCAGTTGCCGGTAGGTGCACATTCGCGCGACTCTGCACACCCTGGCGGCAGTGAGTTGAGGGCAGATGTTCGGCCCTGGGGGCCTGCCCTTCCCCGAGGACATGGATTCGCTTCCTCGCAACGCTGCCCGGTGTGGAAAGTTCTGGGCCCTTCCAAGGCCGCAGCGGCTGGCCTGTGCCCGAGAGCTCCCGTCGCAGTTGGGAAATGGCCTACGGGCTGGAGGACGGAGCTACGGCTCCTTCCTCCTATCTGGTGGTGGCTGTGCTGGGTGCGAGTGACGCCTCGGAGGGAGAAAAACCGCTCTCCGGAGGCCAGAGGGCGGCACAAAGCCTGCCGAGGCGGCGAGTCGGCTCCGGTGGGCGGCCGGGGTCCTGGGGGAGCTGCTCGGGCCGTTTTAGCTCCTCTCTCGGCTTTGACGCGAAAAGGGAGACAAGGCACAATTGAGCAATGAGTGTTCAGCAGCGTAACCGTACACAGGAAACGGGTGCGGATGACCGTGACATTTCATTATATTTTCATCTTCTTTTTGTTTTGTGTTCTGAAACAACAACATTTAATGTTTATAATTTAAATGTTAAGAATTCAGCTGGTATTCGGTAACGCATGTTATTTAAGGGGCCTACCGAGGAAAAAAACCAACCTTGTTAAACAAACCCATACAGGTTGACAGGTCAACACTGACGATTTTATGAAATAACAAGATTTGCAGTGAATGGAAAGCACAATTATATTCTTACACTTTTTCAATTAAATTTGAAGCACATTTCAGCAAATATGTATGTTTCTTCCAGGTGCATGTTTGTTCAGGTTCCTTTGCCTACCAGTGCTTTAAGTCTGCCAGAAACTCCCCTGAGAGAGAAGGAGATCTTAATGCAGAATATTAACTCCTCTGCCTATTATATCCATAAAGCCAGGCCTTCCTCTCTCCCTGGGGGCGTCAGAAATTGCTTTCGTGTGCTATTTGGAGAGGCCTTGGCATCCTGAAACAAAGAAAAGTGAAATAAACCAATGCCCCCAAGAGAGAAGATAAGGAAGTCCAAAGACCTAAAGAAGCACTGAGTTTTAAGTCATTGGTTTTAAAAAATAATTCATGTGTAAGCTTTGAAGTCACTGCCATTGTGCTGATTCTCACTGACCACTTGCTAGTTGGGTGTCCTTGAGCAAGTATCAAACTCCTGTACCTCAATTTCCCCATTCGTCAAATGGGCACAATAATCCTACTAACTTCATAAGGCAGTGGGAATTTAATAAAACAATCCATGAAAATGCCTGGCACTTGGTAAGAACTCAGTAAAGAGTTAGCTACTGAATTTTTTAATAACAATAACAAATTATATAATAAATTATTGGCTTATAATAATTAGTATTATATTATTATAAAGTTTCACTCATTCTTTTCTCCTTCCCCAACTTGGGCTTCCACCTTAACACAAAACATAGAACAGTGGCTTCATTACTGTTTGAACTTTATGTCAGTGGTCTCCAAGTTTATCTGAACATTGGAATCATGGGGGTGGGAGGGGCGATGCCTGGATTTCACTCCAGAGATTCTGATTGTGTTGTTCTGGGATGTGGGTTGGGATTTGGAAATTTTAAAAGCTTTCCTGGTTATTTTAATGTACAGCCAAGTTTGGAAACTAATGCTTTTTGGTGTTGTCCTAACCAAAAAGGTAAAAGAGATGTTCATAGTTTAGATCGAATTAAGGCAGTATGTATTTTGAACTAATAATTTGACTCATTTTGCTGCATTAGCCACTCAAATCAGCCATACAACCGGTTCAACTATTTTTTTCATTGAATTTATAAGTTGTGACTGATTTGACCAATTAATTCGGTAAAAAGTTTGATCCCTTAAAATCATATAGCCATGGGCTCAAGTAAATTGAATTTTTTGGAAACCAGCTGTGATTCTGGCTATTTTGAACTGTTTAGATGACACATTACCATAGAAGTACACATTATTTAATTTCATTCCATACAGTTACTGAGAAACTGGATATTAAATTAAAATGCTGATAGTTTTAGATTGATTTGATCAGTTCATCCAGTAAAAATTTGATTCCTCAAATTCAAAGAGTCACAGCCTAAAGGAAATTGAATTTTGGGGGGAACAGCTAGGAGTTTCAGTGTAATTTAGAATATAAATTACTTACAGGAGTACGCATTTTTTAATTCTATCATGCACATTTGCTAACAAGCTGGATGTTAAATCAAAATGTTGTTATTGGAATGAGATTCATGCTGCCTTGTACCTTTGATCTCATCCCGGGGACTTTTGAAGGCACATAGGTTGCTACTGGATTTGTGCACCACTGTCTGTGTATTGCCAACCTCTTTAAAAAATTAATGAGCACGTTGGTCCTCGTAGTGCCTCAGGTCATACTGATCCATCAGATGAATCATGTGTGAGGTAGCGCTCTCAGGCTCTATCAACTTCCTGCCAACATTTCCCATTAGAAGCATGAAATGCTAGATTAGGCCCTGACCCTCATGCCCAGAAGTTCTTCATCTGATCATGGACCTGGGGCAATGTTACTAGTTGGGCAGAGCAAACCTCTGCGATGTATCCGCAGTTGCACAAAACAGAACCCAACAACCACTTGTCTCAGTGAATCATATAACAGTTATTAAGTTGAAAATCAGGCAATTACATGTGTATGGGCTACTTTCTTCACCACAGAACAAGTTGTTTGTTTATTAGGGTATTAAATAAGGGGTAAAGAAATGACATCATTAGAAAATTGAAAACATAAGAAAGGAAATTTTTTTTTTATTTTTTGAGACAGGGTCTCCCTCTGTTACCCAGGCAGGAGTGCAGTGACATAATCAACTCCTGGGCTCAAGTGATACTCCCACCTCGGCCTCCCAAGTAGCTGGGACTACAGGTACCCACTACCACGCCCGGCTAATTTTTTTTTTGTAGAAATGGGGTCTACATGTGTTGGACTCAAGCGATTCTCCTGTCTTGGCCTCCCAAAGTGTTGGGATTATAGGAGTGGGCCACTATACCCAGCCAGAAAGGAATTTAAAATTTTTCCTTCTGATAGTTTTATGAAAAAAAGGAGTTTGGGCTAAAGACTGGGTTTAAATCAGTTAGCTCATGACAGACAAAAGGATAGAAATGGAACTAGTATTTAGTCAATGCCTATTATGTGCTAGGCTCTTTCTGTACATAATCTCCTTTAATCCTTACAACTCCTCAATACAGACTCAGTCCCAGTTCACAGATAGGATTAACTGAGATTGAGGGAGATTAAGTAACTTGCCCAACGGTGCACTGCGAGAAGTCCCAAAAGTGGGATTTGAACCCAAATCAGTCTGCCCCAGGCTCCATGATCTATCCGCTACTTCTCAGGGTGACCAATCATCCTGGTTTCCCTCTGAGGGATTTCCAAAAGGTGGGACCTTCTGTTTTAAAACCATGATAGTCCCAGGAAACCCAGGAGGAGCTGATCACTCTGCTTGGTAACCAGAGGTTACTGCTGCCTGAGCCAGCTAGATAGATTCCAGGCCCTAGGTGTGCCTCTGGTGGGAAGGACACGTGGGAGGTCTGGATCTCTTAGTTCAGAAATAATATATCCATCACACCACATTCCCACTGAGAAAGCAAGTTAATGGCACTTCTAGCCAAATTTCGTAATATATCCTTAGATCGTGTAGGTCAAGGGTCTGCAAACCTTTCCCTTAAAGGGCCATTTCAATCATGATTTTAGGTTTTCAATTTTGTGAGCTGTGGGGTCTCTATCACAACGACTCAACTCTGTCATTGTAGTAGGAAGCAGCCGACAATACAAAAACAAGTGAGTGTGGCCGTACTCCAAGCAGCTTCTAGTTACCAAAACTGGAGGCAGGCTGGATTTGGCCCATGGATAGTTTGCCAAACCCTGATGTAGGTTATTAATAAAGAATTCTTTGCATAGATAATGCATTTTTGAAGAATTATTTCTGGAAGTTACTTTAGTTGGTGTAGGGCCAGTAGGCAGTTGAGAGCTCACTTTTGAACCAGTTGGCCATTCCTACTATTTTCTACTATTTTGGGACTATGGAATTTGACTTTTCTAATCCTACCCAAAAATCACATAGTGTGTGGGTGTGTGAAGGCAGCAGTGTGTGATCTCCCATCATAAATTTCTTTTTTCATTTTTTTCAGATCTAGTCCTGAATCCAGATCATCACAAATTTCTATCCCCTTTCTTGTCTGTAAGGAGATATTAGACATATTCATTTGTCCATTGTTCTTTTCAATCACTTCTTTTATTTCTATACACCATTTAAAAAGTAATTCTCATTGCACTCTATATAAATTTAAGATATATCCATTTGCTTCAATATGGCATGTTCTTTATTGTATGCTAGAAAAATATTATGGAAAATTTCTTTCTTTTTTCTTATTAAAGACTGGGTTTTGCTCTGTCATCCAGTGGCATCGTCACAGCTCACTGCAGCCTCAACTTGGGCTCAAGTGATCCTCCTGCCTCAGCCTCCTGAGTAGCTGGGACTACAAGTGTGTGCCACCATGCCTGGCTAATTTTTCTATTTTCTGTAGAGATAGGGTCTTGCTCTTGCTCAGGCTGGTCTTGAACTCTTGGCCTCAAGCAATCCTCATGGCTCGGCCTCCCAGAGTGCTAGGATTATAGGAATGAGCCACAGTGCCCAGCCTCATAGCATACTTGTTATTGAACTGTTGGTTGGTAAGCTTACAATTGACTTAGGAGAGAGAATTGACTTGAACAGCTTATGACCCTAAAAGAAATTCATTTAAAGAAGATATTACAACAATTAAAAATACATAAACAACACTTAGATAAATGTTTAGTTAATGCATGCATTAAGCAAGGCACTATTTTGGTTTGATGATAAAATCAGGACCAGCTATTTATCTGATAACATTTCATAACTGTTTAATTTATCAATATAACCCATGGACTTCCATTTTTCAGCCTTACACTTGTAAGAAAGACATTAATATTGAAGATTATAGTGATATCCAGTAGAGGAGAAGACAGTAAT